ACGACGCTTTTAACTAATTGATTGAAGAATTTTTTAATGTGATTTAGTGTTTTAAGAAAGTATCCTCAATGAATTTTTGTAGTTATCATTTTTTGGAAATCGAAGGAACAAGTGATACATATAATGAATGATTCCCATGACATCGAAGTCAGAAAGGCCAATGGCGACAATAACAATGACAGTGATGCATAATCTGAAAGAGCGCGAAGGTGAGGCTATTTGCTCTCCCTCTTTTGACAATTGCTACAGCAGGTTGAAGCATGCAAAAGTTTGCAGAAGCTTTGAGTTAGGACAAGCGACATTTACCTATTTTCCCTTTCTCCTCTCATAGCGATAGCAGCGTGCAATCGATTTCTTAACTAAAGCTTGTATATTGTCTGTCTGTCTGTCTGTCTGTCTGTCTATCTGTCTGTCTGTCTGTCTCTCTCTCTCTCTCTTTCTCTCTGATGCCTCATAAATTTTAAACCTTATAGTTTGTAATTACTGCAGTTTGGAACGAAAAAGTTGAAAAATCAAGTAATATAAAATTAAATGATGAAATAAATTTATTATTTTTAACAAGAGGTAGGTAGTCCGACATTATATATTTATTATAAAAAAAACAATTAAAAAATTATATATATTAACAAAAATTAAAATATATTATGGAATTTTCAAATAAATGAGCAGAACATGTGTGCATTTTCTTATAATTTCGTTTAAAATTTATATAACATGACGAATTAATAATTTTTTTACTAAAAATAGTATAATTATTTTATGTAATACTGTTTACATTATTTTCATCACAATTTTTATTTTATTTTTTTTAATTTTGAAACCGTTGCGGAACAAGTAAAATTTTTTAAAACTTCAGTTAATGAAAATGAAAACCATAAATAAAATGTTAGTGAAATATTAATCATTTTCGAAATATTGTTTCTTTTAACATCTATTAAAATAAAGTAAAAAATAAAGTAATACTTTCGATAATGAATATTTCATAAAAAATATTTATTTTTTTATAAAAATTACGTAAAATAAACCTAATTTAATTATATTTATGAATTTTTAATTCGTTATTAAATTACTTACGTTGATAAGTGCTCTTAAATATACATTTTTAACATGTACAAATACAAAATGTTTGAAGTTTCTTCGACACTCTTAAACCGATGTTGATCTCAAAAAAGATATTCAAATATTAATCCACATGTACATCGGTACATTTTATTTTATTTTAATGTAAATTATTAATATATTTGTCTATATATATAAGAACGCAATGGGTGTAAAAATATGAATCAATAATTATTTACAATTACGTTATAAATATTAAGTTTACCTTTTTCATCAGGTCATCGATAAATGTACTTTCAATTATTGCTTTTCTAATAGCGACTATGATTCGAGCTTTACTACTCTTCGTGTTTCTAGCATCATTTTTATATTTGATATTAACATATATATTTTTTAAGTAACATAATAAAGTATGCATAACGAAACTCGTACAAAGTGTATATCCGCAATACTGCTTTATTCTGTTACATGGGACAATAAAATATTTTAATTTTTTAACTAAATATCTACTATAATTCTTTTACTTTATTGAATGTAATCAATGAGTACTATTAGTTAATAGTGTTGTATCAATGTGGAAATTAGGCAGTAAAGCTATTTGCAAAAGAACCATGTTTTATATACTACAATAATGTATGAAAAGCTCCTTATAATACTGATCTTTCCAATTCATTACAAGAAACATCTACAATATATTGCACAGAGCTATAAACATATTTTCAATTTCTCATTAATTATTTTTTGAAACTTTATAAAAAGTCAATATAATATTATTGACTTTAAATGGCATGGCCTAATATTTATAATAAAATAAAAATATGAATACACTATTTGCTTTTATAGGAAATAGAAATGATTAATTTTGAATTTACATTTAAATACTTTAAAATATTCGATATATATAGATAGAATCCATATATGATCCATATAAAGACATGATTCGAACTGTCGTCGACCCTTACATCCCATTTCAATTAATTTCTTTCGTATCTTATAAATATAGTATCCAGAATAAAATCTTATTATCATTCTTTGAAATTAATCGATGCTAAAGCTGTAATTAAATAACTCTTATTTATATTATATTTCAATTTAAAAATGAGATTCAAAACAACAGGTTAATTTCGAACAAAAATATTTGAAAAATTTTGTTTTAAATTTTATACTAAATTATATAGCTGTTAATTTGTTGAAAAACTATTCCATTACTTGCAATTACAATAATCATAACTTTGTTTTACTTTTTTAATAAAAATTATAAATATTAAAGGGTGAAAACGATGGTAAATGTATGTATATTAGGAATTTTTTAAGTCGGATAAATTTATGAATTTAAGACTCAAAAACATGGAAAAGCTTTAATTCATTATGTTTAAAAACAGTTATGCTTGTTCGAGATTTTCGAATTTTGTAAGAAAGCGTTCGAAAGATATTTGCGTGGTTCTTTGTTTTGTCGCGCCACTTTGTTAAATTAATGTCTTTCTCTCGGAACTGTCGCAACAGTTGTATTATGGAGGAATAAAACCTCATTATTTTCGTTTAACGCGTATTATTGAAGATTGTCTCGCTACCACGCGACAAACTTACATGTTCATGAATTGCTCGCTGGTAAAATTTATTCTGTAATTATTAATTTGGTTTTATTTGTTACAATGTGAATAAGGTGGTCTTAGTTTTCCAGCCTGGATACTAAATGAGTCTTGCATTACTTAGATCTATAATTTATTACATTATAATAACGTAATGATAATTCTAAGAATATATAAGATTACTAGATAATATATATATATATATATTATATTGTAATAAAATAACTTGTTTTTGTTATAGCTTTCTAGATAAAGTAGCGATTGTGAAGCAACATGATTATACGCCTACGGAACAGGTACATCATATTTTTAAGTTATTACTCATTTTTACAACATTATTTACGATTTCTCATGGAAAATATTTTCTTAACAATATTTATAATTACAGTTATAATTATTTTAGTTATATATGCACACACACACGCGCGCGCGCGCGCACGCGCACGCACGCACACACATATATATATATATATAAATTAAAAAAAAAACTACGTTAAATTTTGTGGTATAGAAGTTTTTTAGTATATTATTATTAGCATCTTAGATGTACTGTGTAACACAGCAGTTATTTTATATTTTAAAAAGTTTTTCATAATTATGTATTATTAATGACGATAAAAATTAAAAAAAATTATTCTATAATAGGACATATTGAGGTGTCGTGTGCTTACTTCTGGAATCTTCGAAACACGATTTCAAGTTGATAAAGTTAATTTTCAGTAAGTTATTACGCTTGCTAACAAAACATGAAACATTGAATGTTTAACTTTAGCTTCAGCGGATCACATTAATATTCTATTTGTACTAATTAGTATGTTCGATGTCGGCGGTCAAAGAGATGAGAGAAGGAAATGGATACAATGCTTCAACGATGTTACGGCGATAATCTTTGTAACAGCTTGCAGTAGCTACAACATGGTGCTTAGAGAAGATCCGACGAAGCTGAGACTCCGGGAGAGTCTTGATTTATTCAAAAGTATCTGGAACAATCGGTACACTTTCAAAATATATCTTCTTTCATTCTTATATTTTACTCAATTTGTGATTAATATGAATTTCTCACTTATATTATATCTTCTAGATGGCTCCGTACAATATCAGTTATCTTATTCTTAAACAAACAGGATCTACTTGCCGAAAAAGTAAAAGCGGGTAAGCACAAATTAGAAGATTATTTTCCTGAATTCTCGAGGTATCAGACGCCAGTAGAACCCGGAGTTGTAGCAGATCCTTCAGAACCACCCGATGTTATACGGGCCAAGTACTTCATTAGAGACGAATTTCTTGTAAGAATTTTTTAATTATTATTTATAAATATTTCTGTCCATCTACAAATTATCCTGTATAAATAAGATGTACTATATTATTTATAATTTCCGACATTTTTAATAATCGATTATATAAATAACAAAGCTAGTTAAATATTTTAAACCTTTAAATACGTATGTTACATTTAAATGGATAAAAATATAATTATTACAGCGTATAAGCACGGCGAGCGGAGACGGAAAACACTATTGCTACCCACACTTTACATGTGCCGTTGACACAGAAAATATTAAACGAGTGTTTAATGATTGTCGGGACATAATTCAGCGAATGCACCTAAGACAGTACGAGCTGTTGTGACTTAGTTTTCGCAGTCGTCATAAGGTATTTCACATCGTCTGTCCATCCCAGCTTCGAGTCACGAGACCCAGCGAATCGTGCTCCGAGCTTCTCTCCTCTAGCACGTTCGGATCAACCGAAGTGTTCCGTCAATGGGGGCAATGATTCCGAACGATCGAATGAGGAAGAAAATACAAAATGCTAGATGCAAAAAAAGGAACATGGAGACACTGATTCTTACACCCGTATGAAGTTAGAAGAGGAACAGAAGGGAAGAAGAAGGAAGAAGAAAGAGAATAAGAAGTAGAAGAATAAAAATAAAATAGTTATATAATATAAGACGTATAGACGCTGTACCTGTGCAAAAAAGATCTTGAATATGATAGAATAAAAGATAGAAAAATCTGTTTAAATGCTTTGTGATCGAACTAAGAAAGCATATTTAAGAGAAAAATAAAGAAAAACAAGAATTTCTGGCAATATCGACGTGTGAAAAATAGTAAATCCTTTCTTTTCTTTCTAGCCGAGGTAATGCTATATAAGAATGATAAGCTCTTCAATTGCGTTCGCAAGAAAAGCTATCTCAATGTCCGAAAATTAATTGCGAATAATAAAAGTAATGTACATCGGCAAATCTATCTCTCTCACTCTCTTCATCTCTCTCCCTCTTTCTGTCTCAATCCTTTTTCTTTAAATATTTCGGGCTTGCTTTCTATGCATACTCTTAGTTTCTTTATGGTTTTGATTAGGAATGTCGTAAATAAAATTAAGTTGAAAATACATTCTTATATAAATCCTTCTCGTTAAAAGGCATAGAAATGCATCTTTATATCTCATTACTTTCTTTCTGCTACGTTCATCTCATACTATTATTACATATTCAAAATAGAAAACAGAATGTTTAACTGCTTCCCTTTTACACTTATCCCTAATCATGTATAATGATACTCGCTTTTATTCATAACAGCGTCACGCGCATTACTTTTGTACAGTTATGTAATTATTTGTCCACATATATACCGAATTTCTCGAGTTTAAATTCGTCATTATAAATACTGTGACCCGTTTCATAAAAGTCTCAGTCACGCATTTTTACGAGAAGAGTATTTTGTGAGATTTTACAGTATTTCGAAGAGCGTTTTAATTATATAACTACTAATTGTATTTAGCTCATATATTCGTTTTAATTTTGTGGCGTTATTTACATTTTCAACAAATCTATCTAGTGATGTATATACTTTTTCGCTTAACAATAAAATATTCATATGATGAACGATATCTGAATCAAGTTTCATCATTCGTCATTTCTATGATTATTGCAGTAGTAATAATAGTAATAATAGTTACAAGTAAAGTGGCAATATACTTAATTGAACGAGAATTTAAAGAGAAAACATAAAACAGCGACTGTGACAATCGAATATATATTGTGTATAAATAAATATAAAGGATCTGTAAAAAATTATATGAGTATATTCAAAAAATAATGCAGTATACTTCCTTATTGAACATATATTATTGTAATTACTATATTACATTGCATGAGTGTTATTATACTATGTTAAACTTTTGATTTTATTGTATATTTTGTTTTACAATATATGATAAACATATAGTAAATATATAGTAAACATAAATCATGCAACTATTTCATTAAACACAAAATTATGTTTGCCTTTTTAAAGTGGTTTTTAAAGTAGCTATATATTTTTCTCTCACTAAGGCTAATAAAATTATCTTTCTACTTTTAGTTGCAGTAACAGTTTCTTTTATAATAATATTGTAACTCTCATTACGAGTACCAGCTTTCGTGATAATATACATTTTGCTAACAATTTGAATATAACTGCTACCGTTATCTAATGTGTATGAATTTGTTAACAATGACCTTGTACATAAATTGATAATCTTTATAATAATATATTATATTTAACTTTATACCAGTTTCATTATTCATAATTTATGTTTATTTATATTATTTTTGCAAACTGCGTTTATATAGTTTTTCTTTTATTTCAATTTATAATTGTCTATGCATCATTCTTTTTTTGTATATCACCTTACAATATTATATTACACATTACTGATATAACTTTTAACATTTCGTTTTTTTTTTCTTTATACATTGTTAATTATGATATTCTGTAATTTTTTCTTATCTTATTCTATAAATAATATTTTAGAATGAAATTAGATTGCACAGTTAGCTGTATTAACATTGTTTTGGTCTTTATATTCTACATAAAAATTAACTAAATTTCTCTCCAGTTAATAAAATCAAAAAATTAGTCACCAAAAATCTTGATGATAATCTGTAATACTATGAGGGCTATAGCGAAATATTTTATCAGAATATTATTGACAAAGTCCCTAGTGAGAAAGGGATAGCATTGAAATATTTACACTGCTGATTCTTTATTATATACCCTTTTTGAATTCTCCTAATAGATTGATAAATTTATTCAAATAAAAAGAAGCAATATTATATAAAATAGAATATGTTTGTGATATCAATCCGTCATAGTTCTCTTACTAGTGTTTATTTTCAAATTCGGCGATTAAGTTAAATTAAATTTTCAAATTATATGTGAAATTAAAATATTTCAGCTCATTATATTGCATATTGCAAATTTAAACTTATAGTAGCAATTTAAAGAGTTCGGTAATGGTTCAAAAAATTGTATTACACTAGCAGTCGATAGTCTGAACAGAATTTATCATTTTACTGTTCCTTTTTATCGAAAAGATTGAATAATACTCACTAGTTATTCTACTACTTACTATACTATTCTTTTTATACAATATATTTGGCACTTAGACAGTATATTTACTTTATATTTTATTAATTTTAAAATAATAAAAAATCTATCTATAAACATATAGTTATATACCCATTATAAACCCATAGTTTATAGCTAATGTACATATAGCTATAAACCCAGTGATTTTTATTATATATGCCATCTATAAAAAATAGATATTTTTTCCATTACAAAGATTTTTAACTGATGGATGAAGATTTATTGTTTTGAAGATATATCTATTTTTACTAAATATAATTATACAATAGAATACATTAAACAACTTTGGACTTCTGTTACTATCAAAACTGTAAATTAATAAGAGCTGTAATTTTACAAAATTACATTTTTCGTTATGAGTATAAATTTAATTGAAGTTGTAGTAATCTAGTAGTAGTGCACTTATAAGTTAAAAACCAATAAGTCTCTGTCGTGTTTATATTTAGAATATATTATATTAATGTTGAATTTATAATTACAAACAGAATTGTAATGAAACTGATACCTTCGATATTGACTTAGTTTTTGAAGTTTAAACATATTTTTTTATTAAAGTCAGCGATATCTTTATCACTTGATAGATTTGATGAATTGTTCTTACCGCAAAGAAATGAAAACTCATGTATAAGCGATAGTATAAACAAAAAGCAGCGTTTTTATTTATTTATTTTATTTTTTGTTTGTTAAAGAGACTTATGTTGGTTTGATTAAAAAAAGTTATTATTTTTTAACTTTTTAGAATGTATAAGATTGTCTTGTTTTGACTTATTGATAATTAAAAATTTAAAGTAAAATTTTCAGTTATACGTATCACATCAAAATAAAAATATTTTTTTTAATTTATCTCATTTCGATTGCTACTATTATTTATTCAATACATAAATATTATTAACGTCAATTAATGCTACACATACTGTGACTGAAATATTTACTTTACGTGAAAAATTGCTATTTTTAGATTATCTCACTATAAACGAATCATTCAAAGACTGTTTTCAGTGCTTAGAAAGTTTTGAAATACGGAAAATATAAATAACTTTTCTATTCGCCGTCACAAATATTTTGCCCAACCTTTTTAAAATTTATTTTTATTTTTTTTTCGAGTAATTGTCATATTCAACCCATTCACATTTCATTTATTTATAGAGCTTAAGAATGATTAAAATTGTACGTTTTTCTTAGTATGCAAATTTCAAGATGAAAAATAAATCGAAAGAAGATAAATAACTATAGAAAGCGTATTGTTAAGATACAGATAGAAAGTGTATAAGCCACACCCTTCTTGAATTTATTTGTTATTGCGTGTTTAAAAGAAAAAAAAAAATATATATATATATATATATATATATATATATATATATATATATGCCATCATGCACTCATTACTTATCCATAGGCGACGTACAGTGAATCGACAAAAATATATTAAAATTAGCGATCATGGAAATATTTAAAAATTCATTAATTCACTTATAATATTTAAAGCTTAAAAAATTTCAAAAGAAAATATACGAGAATATATAGTTGAAATTAAATCTATCTTCGTAAAAGTATGTTTGCATGCGCGCACGCATTTACGTATGCATGAGCGTGTGTGTGTGTATGCATGGTATGTGTGCATTTGTATATTTATGTACATATATACATACGTACAGAAGAAAAGAAAAGGAAATCAGAATTAAAGGGATTAAAGGAAAAGTTACAATTTATGAAAAGAATGAACGTTACAAAAGTGAGCAAAAATTTTTTTATTGGTACCATTTTTAAATGCGCAAATAATGCATTAGAATGGAATCATAAGATTTAAGTAAACGTGTATACATAAAAGAGTTGCATTATAGATATAAATAAATGAATTTAATAAGAAAAGTCAGCGAAATATATGATCGTATTTCTAATATAATGAATTAAATTTAAAAAAAACTTAATAAATAGAAAGAAAAAAATAATGAAAAAGTGAAGAAGCAAATAAGGTAAACCAAGAGGTAAAACGTAGAAGAGAATATTTTATTCTCATTGCGTGATGATTGTTTGCATATAAACAGAGAGAAGGCCAAAGTCACGTTTAAGTAAACTAACAATGTTTAAATTAGCAAATAATGACCTTAATTTAAACGATGATTTGATTTAATTACGCAATAAAATTTTATTATTTAAGGAGACATTTAGATTGTTCGTTTCATATTACTTTTTTTTTCTTCTTTTCTTAGTAACGTTAACACTAAATTAAATATTAATAGCTCGATGCCATCATACCGATATAATTGCCATATTACATAAATTCTGTATATATGGAATACAATACGTAAATCTTAGATATATCTTAAATAAAAAAATATAAATGCTTCGTTTTTGAATATAAGAAAATAAAAAATAAGTGTCTCCTTAACGATTATTATGAATTAGTAATGCGCAAATAATGGATCCTAGGCGTAAGTTTATGCAAATTGTGATTATGCATAGATTGAATATGGTATTCAACAGGGAAACAGATATACAAATAAATGCATGCACTCACTGACACCTTTATACAACATGCATACACAGTATACACAAAATTATGTATGTATATATCTTCGGCATTGAATTTTCGAAGATGTATTGATTTTGTTAAATAGTTGGATAAAGCTATACAAATATTATATAAAAATGACGCTTCACATATAAGAATAGGGTATTTGTCAATTGCATAGAACAAAGTCAATGCTTCGTCTGAAGTTCATCACTTTCTCACTCATTCGCAAGCCTACTCATTTTCTCTTTTAATCGTTATCTATGTATCAATTTATCTATATATCTGTCTATCTTTATCAATACACATGCACACATAACTCTCGTCTCACTTTCTCTCCTTTCTCTCTTTAAAAATAAATATAAAATTCAATAATTTAATGCATGCCGTGCAAGCGAATGCAAATGGAAGAATATGAATAAAATTGCAGTATGACAATTTATATATACACTTCAAGTTAATTGTTAAATGAAATCATTCAGTGATCTTTCATCTGAATGAAATCATTCAGTAAATTCTGACCTATATGTTTCAAGCGTACAATTGTCTTATTAATGATCAAAAGCATTGATTTTCTTTATAATTTAATAGATTCAAAATGAATTTTATAATTAAAATAAATTCAAATTAGATTAAATTAATTATTTTTATTAAATTAAATGCATTTTCAATAAAAGGAAATAAGAATGGAACATTGCTTCTAAAATTAAAGATATTCGCATAATTATTTAAATGAAAACGATATTAAATAAAATTCCATAGGATAAAGTATAAGACAAACTCTATGTTTTTCTGCATTTTTCGTTAATAGACAACATTCATTTTTATAGCAATTTTCATTAATTTTTATAATCTTGGATTTATAGAATAAGTTTATCTCAATTATGAGTGCTAAATAATTTATTTTAATAAATTTTACATTAAATCTTGTAGAGTTTATAAATGAAATTATCGATTAATTACAACAAAAACATCAATTTCTTTTTTTTTTTTTTACAAAAAACATATCACTTATTCTTTTAAAGCTAAATATTTTATTGCTAGGTGTGATTATAAAAAAAAAACTGATAATGAAAAAACCTACACAATTGTTGTTAAGTTTTTGGTAAATTACATTTATCGAATAGTTTGGCGCCTTCTTAAATAAATAATCTGTGCTTGAGATTCAAGAGTTGCTAATGTTGTTGCTATTGGAGCCATTTCTTCGACATGATGTTCATAATTTGATACTATAATCATATGAATATTTACTAACTACTCTTTTAAATTTAGTTAATAATAATTAATTTGGATATATATATATATATATATATATATATATATATATATATGTATATATATCATACCTGCTCCTCTTTGCTTTTCACCATA